TGGCGAATTACGACACTGCTTATGTACGTGATGGAATGCATAACATTTTTTGTTTTCAACAACGTCTCACCCGGTACAGTGGTCGTAAACTCTTAAATATATTTTGCATCGTAATAAAAATATAACTTGACATAAGTATTTATAAATAATTTATACTCAAATTACATCATTTCTATAACCAAGGGCGGCGTAAGGCATGGGCAACGTGGGCCACCGCCTATGCCTCGGGGTCCGAAGGGCCTCGCGCCTCGAAGATTTATGCATTACTTAAAAGCCGAGAACGCGACAAAAAAATTTTACTCGTCATAAAACGATAAATAGTTTGTCAAATTTTTATTCATAAAAATGCAGTTTCAACTGCTTTTTATTTTATAAAATCCGTCTTCTTGCGCCACCAGAGGGCCTTTTAAACAATAGGTAGTCTGTTAGCGTTGGTCAGTAGTAGTCCAAATTCAATACNAACGATACGGAAGCCGTTAATGTGCAGATTACCTAGATACTCTGCAAATTACCTAGGTAATTTGAGAAATTGAACAATTTTCGCAGCTTTAACGGATCACCCTAGTTAATCTGCAGATTAGCTAGGTAATGTACACATTAACGGATTTCGAGCTTTAGCGGTAACATATTCACTAACATTAAACAATAGATTTTTTTCACAATAAAAATAACATTTTGTTGTGAATATTTTATCTAGTTAAAGAGAAATAATAAAATGAATGATCTAATCATAATTAAAGGACCTTAGCAGTTAGCATAGAATTTTAATCCTATGTACTTCCACTATTCTCTGCCCCACGTGAAGAATATAGCTTTGTCCTTATCACAGGCAATTACATGAATTCGCAAATTGTAAAAGTAGATTTGTCTGAGATAGAATCATTTCGAACTGCTAAGTTGTAAAAGAGGCATTTTCATTTGGTTCTTGCAAGTTAAGTGGATTGATATATTCTGTATTTGTATTACTTCTGCCTTGTTCCATAGAATCCAGGGCAAGCTTTTTAGTCGTTGACAGCATATTATATTAATGTCCAACTTGTAAAATGTTTTAAACGCCATTGTATGATAGTAAGGTTTTACACTACTTTTAACACTGTTACCATAGATGAAGGTGTTACGTTTATGAATCGACAGAGCGTTTGAGGGCAAAAGATATTATCAGCCCGTACCACATTCTTTCATTGGAAAATATCAAGTCAATGTAACATAACTCCTTCATCTACCGATTATCTCTGACTATCAATAACATCCATTGTGTAATAAAGTTTGATACATAACACTTTCACTCATGCAGAAAAATCGATTCCTTCCTCCATTGAAACGTTCAATTCTATTTTATTGTTTTAATCTTTAATTAATAATGATAAATATATGTTATCAATAGTTTTCAATTCATTTACATTTTTCATTTTGATACAAAAGGATAATCGAGGATACGACATCCAATGTGCATGTCAATCAATCAATGGACCATGCACCAAAGAAAGAAAAGTTCTCTAAATTAAAGAAATTTTTCAGATTCTTCTTCTGGTATGTATCTTTAGCTTATGTGTATATATAAATGAATATGCTTCGCTATGCACACATAGGCCGTTCGACAAGTTGCTACGAAACTCGGCAGTTATGTTAACACATCTAACTTAGATAATGTCGTACATACCACCACAAAATATTGATTGAATTTCTATATATCAATTAATTTATGTATACATTCGATTCGCATCCACGACCAACTGCTAGTGTTTGGTGCTTTTATCCAGATGTACTGTACATAGTACAGTAGAACCTCGAAAACTCGGCTCTCCGGATAACTCGGCCACACCCTGACAGGGCAAAAAATTCCTTAGTTAATTAATTTTCATTATAGACAGCTTTATAAAAGTATAAAAGCTCTCATAAAGTATTTTTCTGAGGTCTGTCTTATCAGGTAAATTACTGTACACAGTGTATTCATTAATTTTCATTTTCATGTAGTAAAGGCTCTATGCCTTCATAAAGGACGTACTTTTCCTTTGTTTAAGGGTATTTGGGCAGTTTATTCTCTGTTATATTCTCAAGTAAACAATACATACAAGTACAGTACAGTATTTTCTGAGGAAACACTCGTACTTATTTTTTAACCCTATTCCCGATAACCCGGCATTTTCACAAACTCGGCCACCCTTCGGTCCACATTAGGCCGAGTTTTCGAGGTTCTACTGTATAAGTCTAAACCAGTGTTTAGAGAACACAATTTTAGTAAATCAGTTGGTTAACTGATCTAAATTTTGCGCGTTAAGACAAAATCCTTTAGAGTTGTAGTCTCGCGACACTGCGAAAGCAATAGCATAAATGGATGTAGAGAAAGATTCTTCAGTAACTTTGTGATGTGAATATGAATTGACAGTAATATAATTGGATACATTATAAATCACACGTCGTAGTATCGCTTAATTGCTCACAGTCAATGCCTCCTTACATTTTTGGTATTCTGCAGCTTAAACTGTTATGGGAGCCCATTCGTTGCTAGTTTTAGAGAAGCCCCATAATAGTTCAAGCTGCAGAATACCAAAAATGTAGTTGCATCGAGGCCATCCGGGATTAGAAAACCTGAAGCATAAGCTTCGTTAATTTCATAGTAGATACGCCACTGCTCTAACGCGAGTAATATAATTCCGTTTCAATCGTACACATTTGTATCTTAGAACAACATAAAGTTATTGATTTGATAATTATTTAAAAAATAATTGAATATTTTAGATGAAAATTTTAATTATTTTTATTTTATTTTTACAGAATACAGAAGAATTTCAGAGATTTTAATCTCATTGTACTGTACGTAGTTATTTCGTACATAGTTATTACAGTATTATTAAAAAAATCATTAAAATTTATAATTACAAAAAACTTTGAAATCTAAAGTTGAAAAATACTTCAAAACTAAAATTTCAAACATCAGTTGTGACTTTCCTACTTTGACATTTCTCCTGATTGTGACTCCACGAATTTTGACTTGTTTTACCCATTGTGTCACCGATTTTGACATTTCCCGATTGTGACTACTCAAGTTTCGACCCTCCTCAATCGTGTCCATCCCTTAAAAAGCGGATATAAATTCAATCATGAAAGAAAGGAAAGTTTACAAGATAATTATAATATAAATGTAATTAGAATCAATGTCTTTAAACAACTTTGGATTTCTAAAATTAATAAAAATCTTTATATAATTTGGCGTCAAATTATTTCAAAAAACAGAGAATTGTGTCTTTATTGCTGTTTTTTAAAATTAAAGTTAATATTAAATACGATTAAAATCGATATACAGTATTTATTTTCTCGAATAATCCGCGCAGTAAAGGTTTTATTTAGATTGTGCAAGGTTTTAACTCTTTTCATATAAATATATACAAGATAGGACCTATCTCATGATATTATAAAAAGTTTTTTATTTCAATAAATACTAGATTCCTATTGATACATCCTTTGTGCGTACCGGAGGTCCTTAATTGTCGGTATTCTTCTTTGTATTTTATATCGATCATAAAATATACAAAATTATCGCATATAAAAATATTTTCTATTTATGTCACCATGGTTATGCTGAAATAATGCTTAATTAATGTAGTATGTTTAATTTTCGCATTTCTCTTTGTAAGAATTAGGGCGATTTGTAAAATGACCAAGGAAATTTGACGAGAAGTTACAGAAAAAATGAATTTAGCGTTTCAATCTTTGTAAATTTTATATTTTATGAATATGTAAGAACGCCGATTGGGGGGGGGAGATTTTTTCCCTACTGTCGGGATGGTCTAAGGTCTACGCGTATGTGGGTGGCGGTTTTAAAAGGCAGCATAGACAAGTGTTTCACAGAGGGAAACCGTTTATTCCGGACGAAATTGCTTACATAAAGTCTCTCGTTGGCAAGATTCTGTGTTGTTGGAAATTTTCGACGTCGGTGCTGGTCTTGCGTCGTCGGAGTTTTCGGCGGCGATCTGGTCTAGCGTCGTCAGGGCCCCTGGACAGTGTTGAGAGAAAAAAAGTTCAAAGTCTCTAACGTCGGTGCACAAAAAGAAGAACGGAGGTACAAAAATAAGCGGAGACGACACGAACACAACAGAAGTCTAGTGGAAGCTTAGTGGAAGTCCTGTTGTCCTTGAATTTGGCGTTTTTATAGGTTTTTTTGCGACCGGCTTCTTGTTAATTGGATAGATCTTACATCATCGTTTTCTAATTGATCTTCCACCTGTCTCAAGGTGTAAATGGAGCTTCGTAAGGTTCGCGAGAAAGGTCGGCTGGAGATGGTTTATCCGACACCATCATTCTCGACTCTGATCTCGTTTAATTGTTGACTATGACACCTACGCTTTTTGATATATTTTTTTCTAGTTTCGTTTTGCTTTCTAAACTGCGTCTTAATTTTAATATTTTAAATTTTCTTCTTTTATATCTAAAATTTTGTTTTTCCCGTTATTCTTTATGAGCGCTGACGTCAAAGTCCGGTATCACCGATTCGATATTTATATAATTTGCTTTCTTGATTATTTAACTTAACAAACTTTTTTTTTCTTATATCTTTCCCTTTTGCGGGAGCTATTTCCGGGGCCTCACAAATATTATAAACTTATAATATACATTTTAATTCAAACACAAATTATTTATCGTATTTATACAGATACTTAGCAAATCACAGAATTAAATTTTATTCAGTTGTATAATATACAGTATAGATATTATAATTACCTGATATATATATATACATATAGCCAAAACTTAATGTAGCGCTCTACTAAACTTGGGCCGATGAATATGAACATCATGAACTCTAAGTATTAAATAGAAGGCCCTTCAGTATGTCAATTGCTAAATATACAATTTTCCATTATTTCGTGATAATGTAAAATCGTATATTTAGTAATTCTCAAACTTGTGATCAGGCCTCGTTACTCTATATATAATTTAGTGCAGTGTTCGATGTAGTGTTAATTTTAGAGACGAACAAATGATAGTGATTAATCGAAGACCGATTAATGTTTATCAAAGGTCATTCGACATATTCGGGAGACATTTCCTACTGTTAAATTGCCATACGTGTCCTGTCACCGCGTAGAAAGAACAATAACATTCTTTACTCTCGTCCAAAAGACAGCAGAGTGTCAGTGGCATGCAGCTCCATTTTGGAAAAAGTGAGAACTATTTTCATTAAAAATAATCCTATATTTAAACGTAATTAGTTTCCTTTAATTAAAAATTCATAACCTATTTCGATTTTTTCTTTTTGTGTAATTAAATAGTTTCATTGTTGTCGAAACAATAACAAAGACAACAGTTATGTGGTAGTTAAGAAGCGCAGATTAAATCACAATAAATTCATTGACCTTAAAAGTTTAATTAATTATTTTAAAATCATTATTTTGCATTTTACAACAAAACTGGTGAAAGAAATTACACGAATCAATTTGAAATCATAGTATTAGTAAGTGATGAAGAATATTTAATCCTTATTTCTTTTTCATTATTCGTGATGGCGGTAAGACTGGTTCGATCAAATCGTCCTTGCTTCTACAGACTACAGAAGATACATTACAGTCATCCCCACACTGAATGTACAAAGTTATTTTTAGTAAAAATAGTTAAAATGATTTTAATAATAAATTTAAAATCAGACCTGTTTTGTAATTTCACTATTTTGTTCTGTAAAAGATCTTTCAACAGATAAAGAATGTACAGAATGCCATTCTTCGCAGGTTTTTTTCGATATATATGATTTAACTCTTATAATTGGGAAGGTCAGATTTTCAATAGATTCCGGTAAAACAATTGTATATCGAGATTCATTATTTTCGAGAGGTTTTTCAAAGAACGAAATTTGATTAAAGAGACTACTTTTAGATAATCCCATAACTTCGGATCTTTTATCTTCGTATGTTTCTGGTAATTTTTCAAATATTTGGGTTGTTTTTATACACTAAAATATTAATATCTGAATAAGTATTATAGTATAAAAAATATAAAAAATTTCAAGTTAGTAAAATATATACTCTATTGCATTGAAATTCAGTATCAGGGTCTTCAGGAAATTGCTTTTCCTTGCTGATTTCTTGAGGCAAAGATGTTGTTTTCATATTTTCTCGACCTGTTTCGGATAAGTTTTTCGAAAATGCTGCAACATCGGATTCTTTTTTTCCTTCCTCTTGAGAATCAAACGATGTGTGGGATTTCATATCTAACTGTAAGGAAAAATCTAACTCCAAAATGGCTCGTTTGCATATATCAATAAATGTTCCTGCATTTTTATCATTAGTCATTTCTGCTTGTTGATTTTCTTGGTTCATAAGATTGTCAATTGTCACTGTTTCATCTGCCTTATTATTCAATGGAGAAATTACTTCCTGAGTACCAAATAAGAGAGGCTGTTCGCTTACGTCTTCACTTGATAATGTGGCCCTGATTGATTCCTCGTGATTTACTCGAAGAGGCTCTACAATAACTTGTTTTTCTATTTGTACGTTGCTTTTTGAAATTTTGATTTTCTGAAATAAAGTCTGAGCTGTAAACGAACTAACAGATTCATCATCTTCCAATAAATCATTTTCTTTTAATCTAATAATATTATCGAAGGCTTTGACAATAGAAGTTAAACTTTTATAAGTTGGTGTCTTATTATCTGTAATCTGTTCAACGGATGAATCATCATCTGAAACGAGATTTGGCAGATTTGTCTGTGGACATTTTTCTTCCCTGAAATGTAATTTTAAGATATTAAACTGAAAAAAAAATAGACTTTTTTCAGTTATTTGTAAATACGAAATTATCACAATATTTAACACAAGATTACATAAAAATATTTTTAAAATATGATTTATAAGAATTTAATATAAAACAAATGCTGCTATAAAAATTCTATTTTACTTACTGAGATTTCCTGACAAATAATTTTTCAATAACTTTAGAAATAAAATCTTTTGCTCGAGTCTTTGCAGTGATTGCATATTGTTGAATCTTTGAATCAGAAGCCATTACGTGAGTAAATGCATTCTGTTTCGAATGTTTTTGTTTAGGAATTTTTTGACAAGAGCTAGTTCTCCTAATATTCTTGGAGAAATCCATCTTGTTATTATTTAATCATTATTATTTATAGAAAAAGTAAGCATTGTTATGTAACAAAAATTATAACGGCAATATTTACTATAGATCTTTAAGCGGTGAAACTTGTTTTTTCTTTTTTTTTTTAAATTTACTATTGCTTTTAATTTGAATTTTAGAAAACTTACCGTAAAATTCCTTACTAGATTTATGTTAAATATTTTGTATAAAAAAGTTTAAATGGCGTTTGAATAAGGCAGTAGCACGTAAATAGATCCGACGTAAAGGGAAACCAAGTTAAAATTTAATATGAATCACTGCACATTTTAATAATACATTTTTGCTTTTAATACTTACATAAAAGATTATATCAAATATATTAAGTCGGTAATTAAGTTCGCAATTAATTTTACTTTTCCGGCTGTTATATAGGACAGAGGAAAAGTATGGCAATCGTCAAAAACTGACTCCTAAGATTTTTATATTTTTCGACTCAGGAGATTTTGAAACGAGATATGCAAAAAATTAGGGTTTTTTTTTTCTGTATGTATGGGTATGTGTGCTTGCGGGCGGAGCACGATTTTCTTCACTCTGTTTGAAGCTTAACAACTCCAGTACTTTTTGTCGAAAATTTCCGAAATTTTGCAGCGAGGTTTGTGTATTAGGCGGATTGAAGCTAGTAAATTTTGATGGTTGAAGGTCAAGATGGGAGAAGAGAAGGGTCTCGAAAGGGATCGGACTTAAAAGATTTTACTCGCCATTAGCATTTACAATTTTTTTTTAATATAAAACTCATCTCTACCATGAAGATTAAGCGTTTTGTCATTCGTAACATCGCGGAAAATTATGCAACTCGTCGCTGGTTTATTCCAAAAAATTAAAGATTTTTTGAAATTTTTCTTTAGAATTTATTCATTTATTCGCGATTTCCGTATAGGCTAATACAGATAACCCCCGTATAACACGGGAGTTACGTTCCAAAAAATTGCCGTGTTATGCGAATCCGTGTTGTACGAAACAAAGAACTAGTGCGAAAAGGGAAGTTAGGTTCCAAAAATTAAAAAAAAACGTTGTTAAATCCTTATTTAAATTGGATCTATTATTCATTTTTTTCATAGGTAAAATACTTATTTATTATTTAAGTAAATATTTTACCAGAGGATTATTCATTTTATATGATGATCTCAGCATGAGCATCATCAACTGGTAACAGTTTTTGGGTGCGTTCATTAATAGTGGTCGCTCTGCAACAGGAGTGCGCTGCTGTTTGTAGGCATTTAGGAACGACGG